GAGAGAGAGAACGCGAGAGAGGAAATATCAGAATAATGATGAGGAGCAACGTGAAAGATCGTAAAACATCGTCTGAAACCCACAGGGACTCCACAATCCCCCGGCCTCGAGAAAAAGGTGCACGTCTGGGGCCCTGGGGGGCCCCTCTCTGGGCCCCAGGAGGGCCCCCTCTATAGTGGCCCCAACGGGAAAAGGCCCCTTCCTGCAGCCCTCGCTGCCCCCCGTTCTCGCTCCCCCATCACGCGTCCTCCGGCTCTGCCTCGTCGAGGGCGTTCCGGAGGTGCCCGGGTGGTCCCGGAAGGCTGCCATGCCGGAGAGCCGAGGTATGGAACGAAGGCCACCAAGCCCAAATCTCAGGCGTTTTCTTGTTCCTTTGCTCTATCTTGGCGGTTGATTCCTCCGTTCTGGCCCTCGGGGGCAGCTACCGGGTCTCCAGGACCACGATCCTCGATCTTCCTAGGGCTCCCAACTTCGCGCTTCGCGCTCCGCGAAGCGCGAATAACTTCGTGCTCTCGCGCCGCCCCGCCAAAGGGAGAAAAGGAGGACGAGGAGGAGGGGGAGAAGGAACGAGGACAGCGAAGCGCGAATAACTTCGCGTCCTCGTGAGAGCCCTGGATCTTCGGAGCCCCGAATCTCCAGAGGCCTCCGGGGAGGCCTTCGAGGGCCCCTGGGACGCCCAAATCAGCCAGCCCCCTTTGAGGGCCGATAGGCTGCGAGCCACAGGTGTTCCCGTTCCCTGCAGCAGCTCCAGTTCTAGGGGACCATATGCGAACCCTACCCCTGCCCCCCACGATTTCTGATGTGAACCCCACCCTCCCCCTCAGAAATCGTGGGGGGTAGGGGGTAGGGTTCGCATGTGGCTCCCTAAGTTCCCAGTTCACGTTGTAGGCTCCCTCTTTCTCAATCCATGGTTGCAGTGATGGAAGTCCCGCGCAGGGCGGAGAGCCCGAGAAGCAATCGCTAACCACAGCATAATCACATGTCTCTACGGGCCCTGGGGCATTCCCAGACATGCGACGTCCTGATTTTTTCAATGCGGAGTCCCTGAAGACCCCGCCCTTTCCCCGGGGCCGGTTTTCCGTCCTGAATTGTTTTTCACGGCCCCGCGACCCAGCGAGGGCCTCCCGAGGCCGAAAACTGGCAAAACCCTCCCAGCCTGACTTTTTCTTACGACGCGATCACGTCTGGGTTCACAATCCCTCGTGACTTACACCAGATGCGCGCTCCCGAGGCCAGCATCCTTCGTACACTACGCCAGACTCGCGCCACCGAGGCCACAACCCCTTCGAAAAAAGTGCAATCCTCTGCATCCTGGGGGAGGGTGCCCTCGAGTGTTATTCAGTTTGGCTGGCTCAGGGCTTCATTTTCTTGAAGTCACCGAGCGCGTTCCACTACTCGCAAAGTGCCTACTCGCAAACGGTCCTAAAAGCAGGCGTCTGCCTCGATGTAATGGATCGCGAATCCCCCTCGTCGGATCCAGGCCATTGGCGAGTAGTTACTTTTGCGAGTGGTGGGATGCGCCTCTCTATGAAGGATATTCTTCTGAACGAGCACGAAGAACATGAAGGCAGCCTCCCCGAACCGACCTCGATCTTGTACCTCAGTCCGACCGTATGCCGGATTCGCGCTCCCGAGGCCAGAGTCTAAAATACACCAAGGACGCCCTCCCGAGGGCCCCCCCCCCGTCGCAAACTGCGGCAGCCTCGCGCCTCTGGCGCCAGTCTTAGGTCGGGCCTGTCCCTCTACTGGGGGATTTGGGGCGAAAACTTAGAAATACTCAGAAAAATACTCCTCAAGTGCTCGAATATAGTAACAAGAATAGTCCCCAGACTATCTTTGGACTATTCTTGAACATTCCCCCTGTAGAGGGACAGGCCCGACTTCACGCCAGTCCTGTGCGAATGACAACAGGCCGGCGCTCCCGAGGCTGCATCCCCTCGCAAATTACGGCCGGACCCAGGACGCAAATTAACACCCTTCAAGAGAATGAGACCCTCCGCTGGCCAAAACACTCAGAGCATCCCCAGGATGCACAGGAACATCCAACAAGCACGAAGAACATCGGGGTACCTCCCCGAACCGACCTCGATCTTTTTGGTTGACCCGAAAGGGGGTCCCGTTGAAAGTGCGTGGTGCAATAGATTTGGGGCAATTGTACTGCAAATGTGCTGCGCCTGAGACTTGTATCGTACTGTGTTGCAGCTACTGCGCTGCACGCGAAACTCCAGCAATGCCTTTGCGCACCGGAATGTACTGCACGCCCCAAATCCACTGCAACCCCACAGATCTACTGCACCAGATCTATCGCACCGCCCTCTGTTCGCCCGGCTCCCTTCTGGGCCAACCATCGGCGGTGGACAAACCTCCCTTTAGTAGACCTCCCCTTAGTGAAAACGGCCTGGGACCGAAACCGACGGACCTGGACCCGCAAAAATATCGGCCGCGACGCCCTCTCGCGAACCGAAAACGGCCAATTCCTTAGTCGACGTGCCAGGGTAGGAGGTCTGTCCAACCCCCGAAACCAGACGCTTGTGCCAGGCCCGCGCGCCCCGAGGCCACGGTCCCCGGTGAAGTGCCGCAGCTTCGCGCTCCCGAGGCCGCCGCCGCTCCCTACGTGGTGCCAGGCTCGCGCCTCCGAGGCCACTAGGCGGAGGAGGAGGAGGAGGAGGAGGAGGAGGAGGAGGAGGAGGAGGAGGAGGAGGAGGAGGGAGGAGGAGGAGGAGGAGGAGGAGGAGGAGGAGGAGGCGGAGGAGGAGGAGGAGGAGGAGGCCGTTTGCACGTTGCGCCAGGCTCGCGCTCCCGAGGCAGCGCTCCCGAGCAGCTTACGCCAGGCACGCGCTCCCCGGGCCGCAGTCCCATTGAAGTTACGACAGGTTCGCGCGCCGGCGGAGGCCACAGCCCTTTGCAGCTTGCAACAGGTTCGCGCTCCCGAAGCCACGAGCGTGCGTCGCCGAAGCTGTCATCCGTTGCAAACCAGAAATTTGCGTCCGAGGCCACGAGCCACGCCACGGAGGCTACCAAAAAGCGCCTCCCCCCCCCCTGTTCCAGAAAACAGAAATCGGTCACTTTCTGCACTGGGGTATGTGTTTGGGGAGCGTTTTTCGGCCCACCAGTCGTTTCCTGAGAATTTGGCTCGGGGCTTGGAGCCACGAATCCTCGGAAATAGCTAGGTGTGCGAGCTCCTGTTGCTTCTGTTCCCTTTTTTCCTCAAACAACAGCTATGGCATGATGACAACCCATGTGCGTCGAGAGCCCAGTGCGCTGGCGAAGTGCACAAGACAAGCCTGGAGTTCCACGGGAGCCACAAGCTCCTGCTGCTTCTGCCCGCGGAGGCTGCCAGAGGATATCGAACTCCCCAGGGCTCCGAACACAGGCTCGGCAAGGCCCCAATGCAGGGGCAACGTTCGGGGGGCACCGGCTCAGCGAAGAAACGTCGACCCCGAATCGGCGACACGCCGCCGACAGATCGGCCATACAGTGGAGGCCAGTCCACACGAAACCTTCGACAAGAAACCCAACCCTGAGACCCCTGGACGTCCATGGATTCTTGGCGTGGGCGCGTCACGCTTTCCTTAGCAAGACTAACGAAACCCAAGAACCCCCGGGCACCCTGGAGCTTAACGGGCCCTGGAAACGACAGGGCCGTTTTTTTACTGGTTCCGTTTTGCTGTTTTTTTGCCGGTTCCGACGCCGTTTTTTTACCGGCTCCGTCGCCGTTCTTTTACGGATTCCCGCTCCGGTTCCAATCCTGGAGCCGTTTTTGTTGCCGTTTCCGGTCGCCGTTTTTTTGCCCTTTCCATTTTCAAGGGGCACTTCTTCGGAAAGAAAAAAAAACACGGCCCTGCCGTTTCCGGGGCCCGCTAAGCCCCGGAGGCAAGCCGGGTGCTTCTTGGCACGGGTCTCCACCGCGGGCCGCCGATGGCGAAACTGCGCGTTCTCCTGGGCGGGGCGTGCCATCAGGCCCCCCGTCGGCGATCCGTGGGCGATTGGGGGTCCCCCCTGAGGAGGAGGAGGAGGAGGAGGAGGAGGAGGAGGAGGAGGAGGAGGAGGAGGAGGATCGAGGAGGAGGAGGAGGAGGAGGATCGAGGAGGAGGAGGAGGAGGAGGAGGAGGAGGAGGAGGAGGATCGAGCCCCCTCAGCTCCTGGGCCAACCCCCTGGTGGTTTTCGGACCATGGCTCGGGCCTCAGGCGGCCGTGCGGGACGACCGGGGCGCCCCCCGGAGACGCTCTCGGCGAGGCGCAGCAACTGGAAGGCACCCCGAGGCTGGACACCGCCAGGACCCGACGAAAGCGTGGGAAAACCTCAACCCTCGAAGCTCCACCGATGTTGCCCCTGATGCTAACCCCTGGTGTTAGTTTCCCTGACAGCTCGCTCCCTGAAGTCCGCGGCCTGTCCACTGCCGCCGGGAACCGACGAAAACGCAGGAGAACCTCGGACCTCGATTCCGAGAAGAAAGTCGTCCCCCCCCCCCTCTGAGCCTTTTTTCCCCAGCATGGAGGCCCGACGAGGAGCACGACAACTGCAAGTTTCCCAACTGATGGGACGGGGACTCCATCATGCTAGACCAAGCCGACAGGGACGAGAAGAGGAGGGGCTGAAGAGAGAGAGAGAGAGAGATCAATAACTGTATTTGCAGATGAATGTATCTAGAGATACTTCGAGGGATAAGGATATACATATACACACACGTATAGAGAACGAGAGAGAGAGAGAGGGAGAGAGAGTGAGAGAAGGAAGAACGAGCAGGGCGGGCGGAAGCACCGTCCCCCCTGAGCCTGTCCCAAACCTGCGACGTCCTGATTTCTTCTGTACGGGGTTCCTGGAAATCCTTTCCGCAGGACGGGCTTCTCATCCCGAGTCGTTTTTTGACCATCCCGAGGCCTGGCGAGGGCCTCTCAAAAACCTCCCGTCGTAATCTTTTTACGAGGCGATCCTGTCTGGGGCCCCCCCGGAACCAAGCAAGGAGCGAGCGGCTGGGCAGCGGGGCGGTGCCGCCGGCCTCCGCGCCGGCGGTTGGCGGCGCGGGCGCGGGGGGCTCCTGCGGCAACCGCCACGGACACGTGGCAGGGGGGGCCCAGACCTCTCCTCCTCCCGCTCCTCCTCCTCCTCCTCCTCCTCCTCCTCCTCCTCCTGATCCTCCTGGACCTCCTCCTCCTCCTCCTCCTGGACCTGGTCCTGGTCCTCCTGGACCTGGTCCTGGTCCTGGTCCTGGTCCTGGTCCTGGTCCTGGTCCTGGTCCTAGTCCTGCTCCTCCTCCTCCTCCTCCTCGTGGTCCTCGTCTCGTGGTCCTCGTGGTCCTCGTGATCCTCGTGATCCTCCTGGTCCTCCTGGTCCTCCTGGTCCTCCTTCTCCTTCCCCTCTTGGTCCTCCTGGTCCTCCTGGTCCTCCTGGTCCTCCTGGTCCTCCTGGTCCTCGTTCTCGTCCTGCTCCTGCTCCTCCTCCTCCTTCTGCTCCTCCTCCTTCTCCTCCTCCTCCTCCTCCTCCTCCTCCTCCTCCTGCTCCTCCTCCTGCTCCTCCTCCTACTCCTCTTCCTCCTCCTCCTCCTCCTCCTTCTCCTCCTCCTCCTGGTCCTCCTGGACCTGGTCCTGGTCCTGGTTCTGGTCCTGGTCCTGGTCCTGGTCCTGGTCCTGGTCCTGGTCCTGGTCCTGGTCCTGGTCCTGGTCCTGGTCCTGGTCCTCCTCCTCCTCCTCCTCCTCCTCCTCGTGGTCCTCGTGGTCCTCGTGGTCCTCGTGATTCTCCTGGTCCTCCTGGTCCTCCTGGTCCTCCTTCCCCTCTTGGTCCTCCTGGTCCTCCCGTGCTCATGCGAACTCGGGCCTTTCGCGCGAGCAAATCGAAATCGCTCGAAGGCCCTTGCGCGCGTGCTGTCGCGAGGGACCCTTTGCAACATATGAGATGACATTCGCGCGCGCGCGTTGTCGCGCGAGCGCGCGGACATCCATCAGAAACCTTGGGTTTCGCAAGGATTTTGACAACGAACGCCCCGAACAAACATTTCGTCAATTAGCAAACATCGGTGTGCAACGTCAGTTTTCAAAAGGAAAAACCTGCGCTTGCGGTCTTGCAGATTCTTGAGGCAGCTATCGATTCTCTACATGCTCGTCACGTTTTGCCAAGCGGGCCTCTCGCGCCGCGTGTCAAGCTCATTCGAACGCCCTTGCGCGCGTGCCTGGGGTGGGGTGGGGGGGGGGCGCGATCCGTGTCAAATAACGCCACGCGGGCCACTCGCGCGTTGGCCGCGAGCGTATGTCGAACTCTTTCAAGAACCTTCATCGCCAACGCGAGGACATCGTGATCGACCGGCGGGCGTGATCAACATCAGCGCCGTCATTGGCCTTACCGTCGTTATCGCCACCACCGTCACCACCATCGCTACTCTCATGATCGTGTCTACCTTTGTCGGCGTCGCCATGATACCGCGCCCGCCCAAGTCACCGACTCGAACTGAAGTGCCCGCTGGGACGTGCCCAGCGGTCGGCGCCACCGCGGCCGCGTCGGTCGCGCCAAACTAGCTGGTCGCTGCGCGCGCGAGCATGCGCGGGCTAGCGCGGCCGCAGAGATGCACCAGCCAATGCCAAATCATCATCGCAATCGCCATCGCATGGTTTTTGCGAACCGAGTTGCAGATGGGTCGGTGGGATGTTTGCGCGAGCAGTGGATTTGACACCACGTTGATTGCACCACGTAGTGTGCAACATGGATCGCGCAACCTTGCACCACATATACTGCATAGCATCGATTGCAAGAAGCACGCTGTTTCGGGACTGATATGGCTAATCTTTTCTCCGTGAAGGCACCAACTTTACCTGCAATGATCCCCCCGTCCACTGCGCAAAAGAAGCGCTTTCACGTATCATTGCCCTCGGTGAGCCCGTAGGATCTCGGGGCCAGGTCCCCTGTGTGCGGAAGCCGTGCCGTCGCGGACAAGCTCCCGCCCGCACTCTGGGCTGGGGCGTCGCGTGTGCGGGGGCCCAGCGCCACATCACAGGGCCCCGCCCTTCGGGTCGTGGGCTCGATGGCCCCGCCGTGCGACGGGCTGCTCCCCTCGGAGGAAGAGGATAACTATTCGCTAGGACGAAGAGGAGGAACAGGACGATGAGGAGGGGGAGGAGGAGGAAGAGGAGGAAAAGGAAGAGGAGGAGGAGGAGAAGGAGGAGGAGGATACCTGCGCCTTCCGCACCTTCCGCGCAAAAGGTGCCACCGCGACGTGGCGGCGGCCGCCACTGCGGCCTCGACGGGGGCCGCCGCCGCTGCGGCCGCGGAGCTCAAGTTTTCTGAAACCACATAACGCGCGTTATGTGGCTGGGTGGGTGGGTGGGTTCGCTGGCACATAACACAACACGTTGCGCGCACTACGAACAGCATACTTGTGCGCTCAACCACAGGCGTTGCCGCAAAGGGTTTGTGTGAAGCGGCAGGCGTTATCTTATCTACTGGGTGGGTGGGTGGGTCGGAGGCCACGGAATAGGCGTTATGTGTCGAGCCGACAAAAACTTCGGCCCCAGAGGGTGGTCAGGCGGCCGCCTCGAAAATCTAGTCAGAACGCACCCTGGGGGGTCCGAGGAGGGTGGCGGCATCGGTCCTTTTGCTCCCCCACCACCGGCCCCCTGGCCGCGGCCCTGCACAGACATCCTCGCGCGCGTCGTGCGTTTTTGGGGGACCTCGTCGGCGCCTGGAGGCTTCGCCTCGGGCTGCGTTCCAGCGGCTGCGCCTCGCCGAGAGCTTCCTGGGCGTGCCCAGCACCACGCCGTCGCACCGGCGGGCGGGGTGGGGGACCACCAGTCGCGGGGGCCACCAGTCGCGCCCCCCCCCCCCCCCCCACCAAACACCGTAACCCATCCGCTCCCCATGCAGCTCCGACTAAACTCCTCACCGCTCGCCTGGCCCCCCTCCCCTCCCCCTCCATGGTGGATGTGTGGACCGATGCGGGAATACCGCGCTCCTCTTCCAGGTCCCGATCGGGTGGACATCTTCGACTCGGGCGGGCTGTGCCCTCGATCAAGCTTAGGAGCATGCTGTGGGCGACTGAGGGCCGCGTCGCCGTTCGGGGCGTCACCAAGCGCGGGTCACAACAGGGGGCGGTCGGCATGGTCAGGACGAGAATGATGTCGTGGTGCAATTGGCCCAGAATGCGCTCCAAGAGTTCCAGAATATCTAGCGACATTGTTTCTGCAGACCCCGCGGAACCTCCCGGAATCTCGGGGATCCTGGGGGACATCCTGGAACGCATCGTTATCATGACCTATGGCTCCTGTGAGTGGTGGACGCAGAGCGAAGCAGACGGGCGCGGCGACAGCTGTGGCAGCAGCAGCGGCAGTGCTCCGATGAGAGCAGCTCTGGACGAGCGGGCCGCGCCGGGGCATCGGTCTGCTTGGCCGCGCGCTCGGCCGCCTCCGGGAGGGACGGGCGCGTCAGGGGCGCCGTGGCGCCCCCGGAGTTGGCCTCTGCTACCGCGTGGATCGTTCAACCTTGAACGACCCTCGCCCCGCACCTTCCGCATCTTCTGCGCGGGAGATGTCGCCGCGATGCGACCGCCGCTGCGGCCTCGACGGGGGCCGCCCGGGGCCGCCGCTGCGGCCGCGGCGGCGGCCGCGGCATCGCGGCACCTGCCGCGCGGACGGTGCAGAAGGTGCAGTTCGAGGGTGACACCGCGAGAATCGCTCAATCTTGAAAGATCGGCGGTTTATTGATCGCAGCTCATTGCATATTGGTCGATTCTGGGCAATTGGCCGGGTTCAACCTCGAACGCCCGCAGTGGGGTGGCCGCCGCGACGATACGACACGAACCTACCGTAAGGCGATACGATCATCAGCTTTCGCTCAGCGTGTCGCGGCGGCGGCCCTGGCGACACGCAGTGCCTTGTGAGGGGATAGCGTGCCGCTCCAGTCCGTGGGGCGAGAGGCTGGGAACAGCTGGGGACCAGGACGCGGATAGCGTGATGCGCCCGAGAGCGGTGGGCCAGTAGTGTGACCGACGGGAGAACACGCCGCGGCCACGACGACGGCGCAGACGGCCAACCGACGATGATGGTACCACACTCGTTGTTCGCGTCGTGTCGTCGTCGTCGTCGTCGTCGTCGTCGTCGTCGTCGTCGTCGTCGTCGTCGTCGTCGTCGTCGAATGGGACGACGATGGTGATGACGACGAAGCTGTACTGACTTGGGCGCCCGGTCTGCCTTACTCTGAACGTGCGCGAGCACGTCTGAACTCCCTCGACTTCGCCTTTGTTTGCCGAGTCTGGCTGGGCCAGACGAAATGTACAGCGGCAGTGCGCTTGTACGGCTGTGACCAATCTTGCTTCTGGTGCTGGACCTTGGTTCTCAGTGCGTAGCAAGAGCACGCGTGCTTTCACTCAAGACCATGCGCCATCACAAACGGCCGCCTCAGCAGAGGAAGCGTCGGTGTCCTCGACATGGCGGCCCAGAAAACACGAAAGCGCATGTTGCATTCATTCGCCAAGAAGGCGCTGGCCAAGTGCCGCGGGCAAGTGAGCGGCTGCGCGGGGCAACCTGCCACACATTAGTAATGCATATCTAACTGCGAAAGAGCGCGTTTCATGGGCGCTTGCCTTGGGAACATTCGGCGGCGCGTTTCGAACTGGGGGGCGGCCCCCCCCCAACACTCGGCGCCGTCGATCAAAACTAGAGGGACTCCCCTCCCCCCACCCCCCCCGCCGAAACCCCCGTTCCCCCCCCCCCTCCCAGGGAGGGGGGGTCAAAACCCCCCCACCCCCCCCTCGGCGCCGGCGCCGGCGGCCGCCAGCAGCGCCGACGACGGGGACGCAGCGACGATGACCAGAGGCAGCCCCAGGCGGGGGTTCAACCCCCCCCCTTGGTGCCGAGGGGGGGGGGTCGTTTCAACCCCCCTTGGCGACGGCGGGGACGCAGCGACGATAACCACCACTACCACCACCGCCATCACTACCACCACCACCACCGCCTCAACCCACCACCACCACCACCACCACCACCACACAACCACCACCACCACTACAGCCACCACCACCACCACAACCACCACCGCCACCACAATTCACCATCACCACCACACTGACAAAAACCCACTACCACTACCACCACCACCACCACTACAATCTATCACGTCACCACCACCACCGCCACAACAACCCCCACTATCAGCAGCACAACCCACCACCACCACCACCACAAGCCACCACACCACCACCACCACCGCCACCACCACCACCACCGCCACCACCACCACCACCACCACCACCACCACCACACCCACCACCACACCCACCACCACCACCACAAACCACCACCACCACCACAAACCACCACCACAAACCACCACCAGCACCAGCACCAGCACCAGCACCAGCACCAGCACCACCCGCCACCAGAACCACCACCACCACCACAACCCACTGCCACCACCACCACCACCACCACCACCACCACCACCACCGTCGTCCTCGTTGACGCTCCCCGCCGCCGCCGCCCGCCGCCGCAGGCGCCGGCGCTGGCGCTGGCCCAGAAAATGAAATCGTCGTCCCCGCCGCCGCCGTCGCCACCCGCCGCCGACACAGGCGCTGTCCGAGCGAGGAGAGGGAGAGAGGAGAAGCAGGGTAGGAGTGGGGGGGGTCCGGTTCCAACCCCCCCCTCCAACCAACCACAGAACGCGCTCTTTCTTAATTGCTCAGCCAATGCAGTGCTTCTGCTCGAAGTGCTGGGGGCCAGACCGCCGCCGATGCAACCAGCTCGCTGCAGAGAATAACATCCCACTGGAACATCCGACAGGCTCCCGCCCACGCTCTGGGCTCGGGCGTCGTGTGCGCGGAGGCCCCACGCGCCAGACCACGGGGCCCCGCCCCCTCGGGTCGTGGGCTCGAGGGCCCCGCGCGAGGGGGTGCTCGCCCTCGACCCTGCGCCTTCCGCTCCCCTCCGCGCGGCAGGTGCCGCCGCGGTGCGGCCGCGGCTGCCGCCGCTGCGGCCTCGACGGGGGGGCCGCCGCCGCGGTGGCCGCGGCTGCCGCCGCAGCTGCCGCGCGGAGGGCGCGAGAGATGCAGGTCGAGGGCGAGCCCTCGCCCGCAGCGTCCCGCCCGCACGGGTTCCAGGCCCCGCCGCCGCCTCAGGGAGGCCCCCGCCCGCAGCGTTTGCCAGTGCCCACCGGGGGCCCCCCGAACGGATCGGCTGCCTCGCGCGCGGGGGCCTGACTGTCGCTCTCCCACAAGCCCAGACCCCTCGCGTTGTGACAAAACTCACTACGGGAGGCTTTCCGCTACGTTCGGCCTCCAGGGGCCCTTACCTGGCCTCGGGGCCGTCAAATCCGCCGGCCCCCTTGTGGGGCCACCAGGCTGCGAGGCACGGGTTCGCAGTTTCCAGTACCAGTTGTAGCTTGTAGTTTCCAGTGTTACAGTTCTGCTTCTTGCTGGTTACTGTAACTAGTTGATTGACCGCGCGAGGGGGGGGGAGGCCCAAACAAGACTTTTTAGCGTCTCCTGGGCGCGTTGTCTGAATTGCTGGGGGGGCTCGAAATCGACACCCCTCACGCAGATCCGCGGGGTCAGGGTCCAAAAACACAGGGGATTTGCCACATTTCTGAAATTCGGTGCCACCCCTCACGCAGATCCGCGGAGGGTCCAAAAACACATGGGATTTGCCACATTTCTGAAATTCGGTGCCACCCCTCACGCAGATCCGCGGGGTCAGGGTCCAAAAACACATGGGATTTGCCACATTTCTGAAATTCGGTGCCACCCCTCACGCAGATCCGCGGGGTCAGGGTCCAAAAACACATGGGATTTGCCACATTTCTGAAATTCGGTGCCACCCCTCACGCAGATCCGCGGGGGGTCCAAAAACACAGGGATTTGCCACATTTCTGAAATTCGGTGCCAAAACGCAGATCCGCGGGGTCAGGGTCCAAAAACACATGGGATTTGCCACATTTCTGAAATTCGGTGCCACCCCTCACGCAGATCCGCGGGGTCAGGGTCCAAAAACACAGGGGATTTGCCACATTTCTGAAATTCGGTGCCACCCCTCACGCAGATCCGCGGGGTCAGGGTCCAAAAACACAGGGGATTTGCCACATTTCTGAAATTCGGTGCCACCCCTCACGCACATCCATCGCAAGGCGTGGTAACCCAAACTGCGAGTACTCCCTCGGCCCTTTAATCCCAAGGTGTGGTAACCAAGCTCGTAAACCATACACGTCTTACCAATCGCCCTGTGTGGTAACCCCTCTTGTGATCAGTTGGTTTTGCCGATTGCGAATCGGCCTCGCATGAAGTTCCGATACTGCTGCACGACAGCGCCAAAGCCTCATGACTTAGCTCTTCCATGGCCCATTCTCCGAGAGAGGGGGCCGGCGGCAGGGGGCGAAGCCCTTACGGTATAACGACTCATGATGAAGAACCGGTCCGGGGGAAGGGGTTAAGACCTCTGGGGGTCGACGTTGTGAAAAAAATATCCCGGCAAAGCAACCTAACAGCGATGTGTAGGAGCATATCTGGAAGCATTCCCCTTACGATTCAGATGAGAATCCAGTTGTAGAATTCTGCTGTTCTCGCAGTCGTAGTCGCATTCGCGATCACAGTCGCAGTGGCAACGGCAGTCGCAGTCACAGCCTCAGCCTCAGCCTGCCTCAGCCTCAGCCTCAGCCTGCCTCAGCCTCAGCCTGCCTCAGCCTCAGCCTCAGCCTGCTTCAGCCTCAGCCTCAGTCTGCCTTCAGCCTCGGCCTCAGCCTCAGCCTGCCTCAGCCTCAGCCTGCCTCAGCCTCAGCCTCAGCCTGCCTCAGCATCAGCCTGCCTCAGCCTCAGCCTCAGCCTGCCTCAGCCTCAGCCTCAGCCTGCTTCAGCCTCAGCCTCAGTCTGCCTTCAGCCTCGGCCTCAGCCTCAGCCTGCCTCAGCCTCAGCCTGCATCAGCCTCAGCCTCAGCCTCAGCCTGCCTCAGCATCAGCCTGCCTCAGCCTCAGCCTCAGCCTGCCTCAGCCTCAGCCTCAGCCTGCTTCAGCCTCAGCCTCAGTCTGCCTTCAGCCTCGGCCTCAGCCTCAGCCTGCCTCAGCCTCAGCCTGCATCAGCCTCAGCCTCAGCCTCAGCCTCAGCCTCAGCCTCAGCCTCAGCCTGCCTCAGCCTCAGCCTCAGCCTGCCTCAGCCTCAGCCTCAGCCTGCTTCAGCCTCAGCCTCAGTCTGCCTCAGCCTCGGCCTCAGCCTCAGCCTCAGCCTGCATCAGCCTCAGCCTCAGCCTGCCTCAGCATCAGCCTGCAGCCTCAGCCTCAGCCTCAGCCTGCCTCAGCCTCAGCCTCAGCCTGCTTCAGCCTCAGCCTCAGTCTGCCTTCAGCCTCGGCCTCAGCCTCAGCCTGCCTCAGCCTCAGCCTGCATCAGCCTCAGCCTCAGCCTCAGCCTGCCTCAGCATCAGCCTGCC